TTTTTTTCTTACATTAAATGTGTTTATCTTGAAAGCCAGTTAAACCAATATTATACCAGCTTCTGAGCAGGATAAACAGCACATGTAAGTGACCCCGGAGTTGGCATAGTTTTGTCAAACTGCTGTTTTTAAGGTCAAAAACAAACTCATTCTAAAGAATATGCAGCTAATAAGTCGGTCAGTCTCAGAGATGCTCACAGGATGGCAGCAGAGATACTTTCTAGCGCTAAATCAAAATGAGCTGAGCCCCGTAGGACTGATTTCTGGCCTTACTCCTCACTGGATTATCATTTCTAGACCTACTTGCTGCACACTGTTGCACATTTGAAGTCGGTAGATGCGTGTTTGGAATAGTTTGTGCCAAGTGTGCTATAGTTATCTGTATCAATTACACAATGTGTTTATTTGTCTCTTGGTTTGGTTTGTTAACGTGGAACTTGATTATTTAACTTAATGTGCTTCTCAATCATGAGGTACCAAGTGAGGTCTTTTTTGCTGTACTGGTATTTTTTGTGTTGCATTTCTGTATTTTGTCACGTTTTAACAATGAGGTGAAAGTATTGTGTGAAAATGGTCACTTTTCCGTCCTTTGTAAGAACAACAAAGTAGTGGTATTATTTATGCTGCTTTACAAAAACAAACCCTTTAGACATTTTTTGTCTCGTTATTGTTGGAAATATTGAGCATCTGCCCGGCCGTGGTGTTCATAAGCTGGATCTTGGTTACCATTAAAACAGTATTTACATATTAAGGCTTTTTTGCAGCATCATAGACCACGTTCACCTTTTTTAAAAATGTATATTAAGAGAAATCAGCTTTCTCACACCAGAGTGACTCATATATGAAGATTTTTGTTGTGATTATCTGATGGACTTTACTTCAAAGGCGTTGTTGAGGTCTGTTTTCTAAAAGTCTTGGCATTGCTGTTTGTGTTGTTTCTTATTCTTTTTATCTTTTGAACTGAGCTTTTTCTGTCTGTTTGCTGTGTGTACGGTATTCTGTCAGTTTGTTTGTTATAAGAACTATGAAGTGTCAGAAAATTAAACTCTGCCACAACAGTCAAACACTGTCTTTCTTCTCGCTCCCGTCGCCAGTATCTTTGCATTGCATAGAAATCTGCGTTTTTATTTTGGTTTCATTGTTTCATTTTACACAGATTGGAATTTCAAGATGAGCCCAATCTTGTTTAAATTTAGGAATAAATCACATCATCTCTTATATTTTACACTTAAATCTCCAACTCAAGTCGAGCTTTATAAAAGTGGAATTACTGACATAGTATTTCACAGACTTCAAGCAGAGCCCATGTATGCATCATACATACACAGACTTTTGCACACTATTCACTTCAGCACTGGCACAGTGACCCCATGTAAAGTCTAACTTTATGTGGTTTGCTACTTCATGGCTGACTTGCTGTGGTTCCACTTTGCAATAATACCACAGCTGATCATGTAATATCTAGTGTGGTATTACTCAAATGTAGTGAGAACGGCCTGTTCGGTCATAAATGTTCATGAAAGCAGACTGCATAGCTGCATGGCTATAGGACTGAAAACAGAGCGTCATGTGCCCAGATACTTTTATCCATTAAGTCTATTCAACCCAATATTCTGCAGAATCTTTTATTGTGTCAGTTACATTTATTTTGTTGTGAACAAACACCACATTTCTTCTTGTGACTATAAAATAGAGCTTTAAAAACCACTGAATGTTTGTTCATGTACGCTTCATATTCTCAAAAGCAGGATTAGC